GCGGATGTACCCGGCTTTGCCCGATTTTACCTGAGTAAAGGTTTGTCTAACTAACATTTGTTGAAACAATTCTCTATAAACTTATAAAAAAAAAAGATATATTTTGATAATTTGAAACTCGTAAATTTGAATCTCTCAATAAAGTGAACATTTTTTCCCAGTCCCTGTGTGCCGTGTCATCCTGAATTTTGTCTTTCCTAATTTTCTACATTACAAAATCATCGTTTTATCTAGTGAACAACTTTTCCGGTCCCTTGAAAAATACTCGACAAGTTGAATAAAATCAATATTAATTGGTTCCCTCGGTAATTGGAAGTTAAAGGAATAGTATCTTGCCTTGGAATTGTATCATTATTAAAACAATACTTAAAGTTTCACCGCATAAGTTTCTTTTCTGTGAAAAATCAATATTTATTTCAAAGAGAAATATTTACTATTTCTAACTTTTTTTGGATGAAGTATGAAAGGGTGAAAATATGAAGAGTAATGGCGAACGAAAAAATAAAAGTGTCCAGGGGCGGGAATCGAACCCACAACGTTCCACTTCCACTTACCAGGCAGATGCCATGTCCACTTGGCTGGGTTCGATTCCCGCCCTGGACACTTTTATTTTTCCGTTCGCCATTACTCTTCATATTTTCACCCTTTCATACTTCATCCAAAAAAAAATAGAAATAGTAAATATTTCTCTTTGAAATAAATATTGATTTTTCACAGAAAAGAGACTTATGCGACTTTAAGTATTGTTTTATAATCACACGCCGCAGTCCTTTATAATGTACTAGACGAATGGCCCGGGCAACGCCCACCCGAGTGCGTATATATTTTAAAAACGTTTTAATTCAAATACTATTCGTTACAATTATAAATTGGCGCCATGGATGTCACTCTTGTGAAACGTCCCGTTCCAAACTGTGTGTTTTTAAAACGTTTTAATTAAAATACTATTCGTTACAATTATAAATTGGCGCCGTGAATGTCTCTCTTGTGAAACGTCTCGCCCCAAACTGTGTGTGTCTTGAAAATATAAAAATAAAAATGTGAATTTTCATAAAGATTTCATCATGTCGATTTTTTTTTTTTGCATTTCACCTACTAAATCGATAGAGATAATTACATTTGCAACATGAACTTAGGTATATTGACTAAATAGAAAACTGCATAGTAATAAAGATCATTTTTTAAAGGCACCATATCGTTTTTTTTTCAATAAAATCGAAACAAAAATTAACGATAAATAACGATAATTGCCTTAAAAAGAAATTGCCTTAAAAAAAAGAAACATTCGCGGTGATTTTGTCTTGCATTCGTTTATACAATTATTATATACGAATGACACAGGCAACGCCCGGGTTTTACCCGATTAAATGCTTTTATTCAAATTCTATTCGTTACAATTATAAATTGGCGCCGTGGATGTCATTCTTGTATAATATATAAATGAATTTTAAAAATTGTAAAAAAAAAAATGCATCGGCCGGGAATCGAACCCGGGCCGCCCGCGTGACAGGCGAGCATTCTACCACTGAACCACCGATGGTTATGAAAAATCCCATCCGTGAGCTTCAGACAAACAAACAGACAAACAGACAGAATAAGGCAAATATATAAGTAGATCATTATTCTTGTTTCAAATAAATTGCCGTGTCTTCCTGAATTTTGTCTTTCCTAATTTTCTACATTACAAATTCATCATTTTATCTATTCTCCCAATATATATGTTGTAGATAAATGATAAAACTAACTTTTACATGTACGCAATTAATAGGTAGAAAATCTTACTTTTGATAAATAATCTTTAAGATAATAAACTTATAGATAAAAAAACTTGTTATCATCATCGCAATGAGGGCGCTGCTTGCGAGTTAAATCTACAAATCTGCAAATAACTCTAAGGATATTCAAGATATTCAAGATATTATTTTTCAAAAACCTTCCCGGGGATATACCTAATAATATCCCAAAATTTCACGGCGATTGGATGTATGGTTTTTGAATCTATAGAGTACAGACAGACAGACATTCAATCTACTTATATAATTGCCTTATTCTGTCTGTGTGAAGTTCACGGATAGATTTTGGTCAGAATGGATAAAATAAAAAAAGTATCAAGGGATGGGAATCGAACCCACGACCTTCCGCTTACCGGGCAGATGCCATGACCACTAGGCCACATGACCACAATTTATAATTGTAACAAATAGTATTTGAATCAAAACATTCAATCGGGTAAAACATGGGCGTTGCCCGGGTCATTCGGCTAGTTTTATATATATATCTACTTATATAATTGCCTTATTCTGTCTGTGTGAAGTTCACTGTGTGAAGTTCACGGATAGATTTTGGTCAGAATGGATAAAATAAAAAAAGTGTCAAGGGATGGGAATCGAACCCACGACCTTCCGCTTACCGGGCAGATGCCATGACCACTAGGACACATGACCACAATTTATAATTGTAACAAATAGTATTTGAATCAAAACATTCAATCGGGTAAAACACGGGCGTTGCCCGGGTCATTCGTCTAGTCCTTATCCTTCCTTCCTTCCTTATCCATCCTTCCTTATATCTATAAAAATGAAATGCGAAATCGATGTTTGTTATCGCATCACGCAAAATCTACTGACTCAATCATTATGGAATTTCGCATGTAGGTAGCTGAAGATTTCGTTTAACATATAGGCTATTCAAAAAACTAAAAAAGTTAATGTGATTTAAAAAAAAATAAAAAACCAAAAAGCGTTAGTTCCAGCTTTTTACCGCTTGGGCGCAGCACTGGTCGCGACGATAAATGAATTTGATTGGTTAATAATTAACACGTGGTTTGTTTACACGATGAATTTTAGTTTGTTCACACGATGAATGTTTTTAAAAGGTAAGATTATCCAATCGCCGTGAAACTTTAGGAAGTTATTTACTATACTACTGGGAAGATTTCTGGTTTGAATTTGATTTGAAATAAATATTCTTTGCAATTTTATTTGCAAATTTTCTACTTTTACTCGCAAGCAGTGCCTCTAGCGGCGTCTGGTGAAATTATATTTATAAATTGTAACAATGCTTAAACTGTTTTCCAAGTATAATAAATTTAATTTGAGAATTTAGTAATATAATATTCCAATGAGGTAAAAATACTTGGCATTTCAATATTAATATATATTTAAAGATGAAATTGTAACGTTTTTGTGTTAAATGTTAAAATGTAATGTTAAAATATATTTTTACATTGTTAATTTAATTTGCTGTTGTTTTATAAAAATGATGATGCAACTTTAATTGTTGTTGTGAAAATATCTTTATTTACGGAGCTGCTAACCATAATAAATGATTTTTGAGCCCCTAATTGTTGTTGTTTATTATCGTTTGTTTATATAAAAAAATTACATTGTATGTGATGATGATAACAAAAATGAATTTTTAAATTAATATATATAATTCATTGAGAAAAAAAGAAATAATTAATTATCAAATTCACAAAAGTGACAATATCTTATTTAAAATATAATAAATATTTTCAAAAATTATGTGTTTCAAAAATATATTTAAACGCATATAACAATATTTATATACGTTTATAAATCAATATATAGGTGGATTGGATGTTTTCTAGAATCGTTTTAACAAATATTCGTTAGGAAAACTTTTACTCGGATAAAAACTGTGCGAAGCCGGGTACATTCGCTAAATACAGTTATTTACAAATTTTCGTTTGTGGCAAGATACTATTCCTTCAAATTACCGAGTGGACCAATTAATACTGATTTTTTTCAACTTATCGAGTATTTTTCAAGGGACCGAGAAAAAATTATCGAGAGTGTAGACAAGTATAGATTCAGTAGGGATTGGATGTTTGCTAGAATCGTTTTAACAAATGTTTGTTAAGCAAACTTTTACTCGGGTAAAAATCGGGCGAAGCCGGGAACATGTTTGTCGGCTATGCAAGCCCTCAATATGTAACTAATCTCGCTGAAATTTGAACAGGACAGAGAGTTAAATCTGGAAGTTTTTTTGTCGCACTTTAACCAAGAAAAATTATATTTAACCAAGTACTGAGCAACAATATTTTTTTAGTCAGAAATGATGATGACAATATTGCCTTATCATGCTTGATTGCATTAAAAAATCTTTTGGAGAATATTCACTAAAGCAGACCACGGGCGAAGCCAGATAATGATTAATAGTAGGCAGGAACAAAATTCTACCAGCGAAACATTCACTCGAGCAGAAGACACACGAAGCCAGGTCATCTCTATATATAAAATATCGTTTATCGGCCTTTTGGCTAAGATCATGTAGTATATCTCTAGATATTTTTATTTATGTATATCTTTTTAAAAATCTATTCAGTAGAGAGTGAATATGTTTGCTTGAAAAAAAAAAATTCATATATTATATAAATATATGACGCAACGAAAATAATTATCATTATTATCATAATATTCTGTGTGTTCCAGAATATTATTATCAATAATATTCATTAGGCAAACTTTCACTCAGATAAAACCCGGGCGAAGCCGGGTACACATCCGCTAGTATTATATAATTGCCTTATTCTGTCTGTGTGAAGTTCACGGATAGATTTTGGTCAGAATGGATAAAATAAAAAAAGTGTCAAGGGATGGGAATCGAACCCAAGACCTTCCGCTTACCGGGCAGATGCCATGACCACTAGGCTACCCATACATGATGAAATCTTTATGAAAATTCACATTTTTATTTTTATATTTCAAGACACACACAGTTTGGGGCGGGACGTTTCACAAGAGAGACATCCACGGCGCCAATTTATAATTGTAACAAATAGTATTTTAATTAAAAATTTTAAAAACACACAGTTTGGAACGGGACGTTTCACAAGAGTGACATCCATGGCGCCAATTTATAACTGTAACGAATAGTATTTGAATTAAAGCGTTTTTAAAATATATACGCTCTCGGGTAAAACCCGGGCGTTGCCCGGGCCATTCGGCTAGTATATATATATATATATATAGATAAGTGAAGAAACCAAATATATTTTATAGTTCAGGTAAATAATTTCAGAATATCTTGAAGATAGAGGTTGCCTGGTAGGCATTCATATTTATGAATAAATAATTTCAGAATAGTTTGCAAATTGATGTGATGGGTAAGGAGATTTTAAGAGGAAAGTAGGAGTGTGGTCCTAGGAGAAACGCCAAAGCTTTTTTTTTGGCTGCAGGAAGAAATGCCTCGCAACCTTATTACTTTAGCTATCATCCAAGAAAAAGAACCTATTGCTAAGACACTATATAATATATTCGATTTTATTTCAAAGTCCAATAAAGTGAGTCTGACACAAGAAGAAGCGCGAGTTGCCAGCGAAAAATTCAGAGAACATGACCCAATTTAATACCATCACCCTTGACTGTGGAGAGAATTTACTAATTCTAGGTTTCCTTTCTCAAAACACAACATTTATGACTTTTATTTAATTTAGAGTATACTAACGAAAATTCAGAAAATTTACAAGAAAGAATAAAATTTTAAACAATGGATTTATACCCACTTTCTCATGTTTTATTTAGTCCCCTCAACCTCATATTTGATATGTTAAATTTAAATAAATTGATTTTATTTTCAA